CCGACTGGGAGTAGAAAGCCAAGCCTTTCTCCCATGGTTCACACTGCTGACCTTGTGGTTATCAGCCCAATGCATAACTACAATGGCTCCAGGGCTCCTCCCCTCTATAGACAATGCCTTAAACATGCTAGTCAGGGTGTTTATAGTGTTCTATCAGGATTCTCTGGAGAAACAGAACCAGAGGGAAAGAGAGGTATTTCAAGGAATTGGCTCACAGATTTGCAAGGCTTGCGTGTCCAAGATCTTTGGCTAGGTGGAAGGCTGGAGACACCAGCAGGCTTGCACCCTGGGATCCACAGGCCGGGAGACAAGAAGGATACACAGTCAAGAGGGAGAGGGAGAAACCGATTTCTGCCCAAATCGCTACCGTTTGAAAGCAGGCCACACACCCTTAAACCAGGGGTGGGGAGAATCTGGCCTGAGAAATCAGCAACACCACGTTACATCACAGCCTCCCCAAGGAGAAGCAGTTCAGCCATCGCATTGAGGGTGAGTTCATTAAATGTGTGTCAGGGGAGCCAGCCCCTAAGCACATCATCACGGGTCCAGTAGGCGCAACTGTACAGCAATAATAAGTAAAGATTATCGTAAAGTCATAGAGAGCATGAGAGGTAGAAGAGAGAGTGAAATAATGGAGTCAGACCCATTTCATAGCAGCATGCTCACCTCAGCTCCTCTTGGTGGTACAGGGCAGGAGAGAGAGAGATTTATTGCTAACCAAGGCTTATGTATCTTTTGGGGACGTGCAAGCCCCCTGATTACAGGTAAAGACATCCGTCACAGGAAAGGGTTGTACTATAGGTAATACAGTAACGGGAAGGGGACAATCTAGGGGTACACACGCTAAAGGAAGAGGAGGGACAAGATGTGACACCTGCGACAAGATGGGTGGACCCTAGATTCATGATGGAGGTTTAACCTTGATTGCCCTAGAGCTGGAGACTTGATTTATTCTAACCTTTCAGGGGAAGCAATGCACTGTCCCTCACAGCAGGGAGTGAGCCCCACCTATTGTGGGAGAAAAAACGGCGTCTGCTTGCTCTGGATGGCTGGGTCTTCAGGAACATAACTTGACATCATGTACCATTAGTTGCATGCAGTGTCCTAAGTCTAACATATATATTTGGGGGAGACGAGTTGGGGAAGTCTTTTTGTATCCCACAAATGTTGGACCAGTATGGCCCGAGAATGATGTGATCGCTATCCTAATGGCCCTTGGCAGGAAAAATAAAGGTCCCCCAACCTCTGCTAAGGAATTCTCCTTTCATCTGATTGTTTAATGGGTTGCCTTACATGAGATTACGTTATGGAACAGCACTACATCATATGACATAATCCTATTACATGTGGGGGCCAGCAACTAGGATCATGTTTGGTAAAAACCCTTGGGGACCAGAGCACGGCCGTGGTGGCATATTAAATGAACCATCACAGGGGCTTAGCACAATGTCTTATTTTGCTCAGACCCCTGGAACTCCGCCAAGACTCAGCAGAAAGAGCTTGCTGCTCCTCCACCCAACCCCAGTTAGGAGGCTTGAGTGGGGCCAGCAGATAGACTTCTAAGATAGCTCACTCACATAGCTGGAAAGCAGGAGTTGGTGCGGGTGGGGGTGGGGAGGCGTCAGCCAGGGCTTTTGAGCAGGGTCCTTGATTCCTCTCCTCGCGACTGCTTGGGCCTCTTTACCACATGGCAGCTGGATTCCAAGAGGGCATATTCTACTATACCAAAAAAACCTAACCAAACCCACTGCCATGGAGGCCGTTAGGGCACATTTCAACCCGAGAGAATTGCCCCTGGGGGTGGGGGTGGGAGGGGTCCTGAATCTGTAAATCTTTATGGAAGCAGAAAGTCTCATCATTCTCCCCTGGAGCTGCTGGTGGGTTCAAACTGCTGACCCAGTGGTTAGAGGTCCAACCAGGACTCCACTACACCCCCGGGGCTCCTTGTTCTGCCTCATAAGCCACCCCCATGAGGTGACTCTGTCCCCTAGTGACTCTATAGGGCAGTGTAGAATTGTCCCTGTGGGCTTCCAAGACCGTCATTCTTTACAGAGCCCTGGTGGTGTTGTGGTCATGAGTTGGGCTTCACCCCCGCAAGGTCATTAGTTCGAAACTACCAGCAACACCTTGGTTTGAGATCCAGCCCCCATCCGGATGGGTCCTAAGGGATGGTTGTTGAAGGTACAAAATTAAGAGGCAGACAAAAGTTTTGGGGTGCTCACCTCCTTGGCATCAGGTCTGAGTGGGAGAGAGAGAATGTATTCTTATGTCAATTTATATAGTCTCGGTGCATGCAAGCCCCCTTCATTACAGGTAACCGCATAGCCATGTTGGCATATAAAATGAACCATCACACCGGCTTAACACAATGTTTTAGTTTGCTCAGACACCTGAAGCAACAAAGTGGGACCATCCCCTAACTGGAAGGACCCTGAGCTTATTGGAGAAGTAACCTAACACCAGTGCTGGGGGCAGGTAAGGGGAGTGACTGTCTCTGAGCAGTGAGAGCAATTGCTCCTATAGATCAAGCTGCCAGCCAGAGAGCAATCAGGCATGCGCTCCTAAGAAGTCACTTTAAGGTAGCACCATTATGAGAGGATATGGTGGGGATTAACCTTAGTGATGAGCATGTGACTGGGACTCATCTCTAACTCACAAGTGTGAAGGCCTCCCTCCACCCAGAACCTTGGTCTCCCAGGCTCCTTAAATACAAGAATAAAGAACTTGTCCGCGCCCACTCTCTTCCCAGCCCTTAGTTTCCCACACTTGGAAGAAAGATGGGGCTTTTTAGAAACTCAAAGGGAGCCGCCGTCCTACCCTGTCCTATAGGGGTTTTATGAGTTGACATCCATTCAGTGGAAGCTTGTTTTGTTTTGTTAATTCTTTATGGAGTCAGACCGCCTCATCTTTCTCGTGTGTGTGTGTGTGGGGGGGGGGGGGGGGGGGGGGCAGGGTGTTGGCTGGTGGGTTGGAACCGCTGGGAGGCTTCCGCCAGAAGCTGCCAGGGAAGCAGGCAGCCTGGTTCCGGTGTTGATAGCCAGCAATTACAGTGATTGTTCTCATTAGTGTGAGACCTGAAGGACAAGTTGTGGTAACCGGCCTGGAGGAGGGCGGGGAGCCAGCTAGATCATTCAAGGCCTAGGAAGGCTGGGAGGTGATGGGAAGGGCAGGTGCCAGGTGCTGCCAGGAGTGACAAGGGGGCTGGAGTGGGTGCGAGTAAGCCAGGCAAGGCTTCTTCGACCAATGCCTCCCAAGTGCGTGTGATACAACTCCACAGGCTGCAAAAATCCAACAAGTCAGCCTTAGAAGTGCAGCCAGAATGCGCCTGAGACGCCAGGATGGTGAGCCTTTGTCTCAGAGTACATTTAGATATGTTAGCATGAGAGACCGCGCCCTGGGGAAGGACACCATGCTTGGTAAAGTGGAGGGGCAGCGAAAAAGAGGAAGACCCTCGATGGACGGACAAGGTGGCTGCTACCATGGGCTCAAACACAAGCACCATTGGGCGGACGGTGCAGGACCGGGCAGTGCTTCCTTCCGTTGCTCACCGAGTCTCGATGGGTTGGAACAGCACCTAACAACCCTTTATCCCAGATGATAGGCCATAGCACAGACGTTTGTAATTGGCTGGGGCTTGGGAGAGGCACTGAGTGCTTTATCTGTTTTCTGAAAAGGGGGCGGTGGGCCAAATACGTTTGGGAAACCTATTCTATTCACTGAGGAAATAGGACTTTCTCCGGAGGGCATTGGGGAGCCATGGGAAGTGTGTGAGCCAAGGCCGGGCAGGGTCAGCTCTGGATATAGAAAGACTCGGGGTTCAGGGGAAGAAGGCAAGCACAGGAGGACAGAGAGAGGGGTACAGGGGCCTGAGGAATGGAGCTCTCAGGGATTGGGGAGCAAATTGGACTGAGGACATCTGGCTGAGATAGTGGAGGTATCTTGGAGAAGGGATGCCCAGGAAGACAGCTGGGTTAGAGGGAAGAGGCTGAGTTTAGAGGGGGCGGGGCCCTTCTGGGAAAGCAGCCCTGGGTGGGCAGAAAGACACCTGGCCTGGAGATGGCCACTTGAGACTGGGTCCTGGGGGGAGGGAACAGTGAACCAAGGAAGGATTGGGAGCAGCAGAGGAGTAGGGTTAAGGTTTGAGAATTCGGCCACTGCAGGGTGGGGACAGGAGCCTAGGGAGGAGAGAAAGCCAGAGGTGAGGCCAGCACAGGGTGGCCACCTCTTCCTCCTACAGGAAGTTTTCCCAGCTTTGCCACATTTCCAGGCAGGCACTCAGTTCTCAGGGAGCACTGGAGACACCAAAGTTCAGCGCTTGGCTGCTAACCGGGAGGGGAGGGCTGCCCTTTCTAATGCACTCATTGACTTAGCAGTCCACTCTGGTCTCAGGTGGTCGCCAAATGCCACCGAGTCAGCCTAACTCAGAGCCACCACCTGTCCAACAGAAAGAAACACCGCTGCCAACGGCGGCGGCGCCCCATCTCGTTGGGGGAGTCTCCCTCTTTTTCACTACCGTCCACTTTACTGAGCACAGGCGTCCTCATGGTGGCGCAGTGGGCAGCGCTGTTGGGCCCTCTAACTGCAAAGTCGGTAGTTCGAGACCGCCAAGCGGCTCCACGGGAGAAAGAGGAGGTTTCTGCTCTCCCGAAGAGCCGCCGTCTCTGAAACCCACAGGGGGCAGTTCTAGCCTGCCCCGTGGGGTTTCTGAGGGTGTAGTTCTACTCCAGCACCCAGTGTCCGCTGGGCACCTGATAACTACTACTACAACCACACCCACGACTCAGTTCTCGCCTTCCTCTGATGAAGGCTTGCGGGGGTGCGGAGGGGTGGGGTGGGTCACTCAGCCACGGGATGGGCTTGGGGATTCCTGCACCTTGGCTGAGCCAGGCTCCCTTTCCCCGCCCAGGAAGCTACCCGGCCTGTCCGACTCGTCCTGCCCATGAGGGCCAAGCACAGGCCTTGGGTCTCTTGCCAGTGTCCCCGCGGGTGCGGCCAGCACCATGGACACCTCGCGGCTCCTGCTGCTCTTCGCACTCCTGGGTGAGTCCCCTGCACAACCCCTGCCCCCACCGGTCCCCTTTCCCAGTAGCCTCTGCCCCACCTGCAGCCTCCCAGATCCGGGTCCTGGCCCGAACCCCGGGATCCCATGTCTCCTCCTCGGCCCCAGAAAGCTCTTCCCAGGGCGCAGGCTGGCGAGTGCCTTCCAGCAAGGTCACCAGATGGACACTTCTGGATCGTTCCCCAGGTTCCAAGGATCCCATAGGGTCGGAAGCCCTGCGCTCCCCAGGCCTGTCGGGTTCCCTGTGGGCCAATGTGTCTGCAGTCGAAGACCCAATGTGGAAATTCCCTGCGGAGACCCTGGCTCCCACCTTCCCTGAGACCACTGCGTCTGAGATCGCGACCCAAGCACCTGCCAAAGGCGACGGGCCTGCCCTCCCGGAGTCCGATGTCGCCCCTCAGGGCCCCGCCGATTACAACGTGTCCCCCGAGCCGCTGGGCGTCCCCGCGGAAGCCCACCCAGCCCCCATCTCCCCCCATCAAGTCGGCGGGCCCCTAGCGGTGCTGGTGGGCACTACCATCCAGCTCCCGCTGGTCCCCGCCCCCGGGCCCGGGCCCCCCGCCCCACTGGTGGTCTGGCGCCGCGGCTCCACAGTGCTGGCGGCCGGAGGCCTAGGGCCCGGGGCCCCGCTCATCAGCCTGGACCCGGCCTACCGAGACCGCCTGCGATTCCACCGGGTGGGGGGCAGTCTGGAAATCGCATCCGCCCAGCTGGGCGACTCGGGGGTCTACACAGCCGAAGTCATCCGGGCCGGGGTCTCCCTGCAGAGTCGGGAGTTCACAGTGGGCGTGTATGGTAAGTGGACGCTGGGAGACCTTTGGTCATCCCAAACCCCCAAACTCTGCCATGGAATCGATTCTGACTCACAGCGACCCTGCTAGGACAGGATAGAACTGTCCCAGTGGGTTTCCAGGACTGGAACTCTTGAGTACAAAGTTCCCCGTCTTTCTGCCAAGGAGTGACCGACCAATGGGGGGGTTTCGAACTGCTGACCTTGTGGTTAGCGGCCCAGCATGCAACCCATCACGTCATCCTTTTTCCAGAAGGAGTCGTGTGCACAAAGGGCCTGCAAGCCACTGTCCTGGAGGGGATTCGAACTCACAGAGACCTGCAGGACCGAGTCGCGCGGCCCCACATGGGCTTTCAGGGGTGCCTATCATCTTTACAGTGGCAGACTGTCTCAGCTTGCTCATGAGGAGCTGCTGGTGGGTCTCGAAGGATGAGGTTTTGATTAGCAGTGGAACACTTAACTGTTTAGCCACCAAGGTTCCCATCATGCCCCTTAACCCCTTTGATTCCAATCAGACCAGCCCTCTAGGACAGAGTAGGGCGGCCCCATCAGGTTTCTGAGGCTGTGATTTTGCAGGAAGCAGGCTGCCTCATCTTTCTCCTGTGGGAGCAGCTGGTGGGTTCGAACTGCCACCCTTGCAGTTAGCAAAAAACAAAACAAAACAAAACAAAAAACAGAAAAATAAACTCGCTGCCACTGAGTCAATTCTGACTCATGGCAACCCTATAGGACCGTGTAGAGCTGCCCCAGTGGGTTTCCGAGACTGTTAACTCTTTAGGGGAGTAGAAAGTCTCCTCACTCTCCACCCCACCAACTAGGATTTTCAAACTGCTCACATGCCAGTTAGTAGCCCAAGGAGTAGCCACTGCACCACACGGACTCCTACAGTTAGCAACCAGGCTCTCACAAATTATTATTATTACTGTAGTTTGGGTGAAATTTACAGAGCAAGTTGTTTTCCCATTCAATCATTTATCAGGAACAAGAGCAGGCTCCCTGGTCCCATGAAGACTGGCAGGCTCAGAAACCCCCAGGAGCAGGTCTCCTTTGTCCTGTAAGGTTGTTATGAGTGGGAACCAATTCGACAGGACAGCCGTTTTCCTGTTCCCCACTGAGCTCCTCTGTTTCCATTCCTCTTTCCTGCCCCTTCCTGCCTTCTGAACTCTGCTTTGGGGCAACTGCTATCCTTCTGGTCTACTGTGGTGGACTGTTCTGAGGAGGACGGTCCTCACAGGTGCTACCTTTCCTGTGAGAGACCTGCCTGGCATTTGACTGAAAGGTGGTTCCCCAGCGGTGGGTCCAAGGGCCCCAGGGCTAGGGATCCTGCCTGTCTCTATGCGACCAGTACATCTGGTGTTTTTTATGGTGTTGAGTTCTGTTTAGCGTTTTCTCCAACCCTGCCCAGGCCCTTCCATGGTGGTCCTCATTGGAAGGTTGGTACCGGGCACTGTCTAGCTCCTCCGGTCTCAGCGTTGTGGAGGCTGTGGATGGCATGGCCCATGAGTGCTTTGGGCTAATTTTCCTGAGTCGTCGGTTTCCTCTTTTACTTCACTCCTGATTGGTGGGGGGAGTAGGGGTAGAAGGGAGGAAGTAGTTGTACCTTAGATGGTCCCTCAAAAGCAAAGCAAAACAACAAAACAAAACAAAAAAAACCCCTCACCACCACCACCAAAAATAAATAAATAAAACCTCAATGCTATCGAGTTGATTCTGACTCATGGTGACCCTATAGAACAGACTATAATTGGAACCTATGGGTTTCCAAGACTGTAGATCTTACAGGAGTAGAAAGCCTCCTCTTTTTCCCACTGAGCAGCAGGTGGTTTCAAACTGACAACCTTGCAGTCACTCGCACACCTTCTTTTAAAGACCCCACTAGCTTGTCACAAAAGGAGCTCTGCGGGAGAAAGATGGGACTTTCTATTCCCATAAAGAGTTACAGCCTCTGAAATCCACAGCGACAGCCCTACCCTGTGAACCGGCATCCACTCGCTGGCAGTGAGTTTGGTTTGGAGCAACTCACCAAAGCAGGATGTAGATTTCGGTCCTTGCCAGCCAAGCACTTTAACCATTGCGCCACCAGGGAGCTTCAACTGAAAACCAAAACCCACCTCACTTCCATCGTGTCGATTTCCACTCACAGTCACCCTAATAGGACAGCGTAGAATTGCGCTGTGAGTTTCTGAGAACGAAACCGTACAGGAGCAGAAAGCCCCGTGTTTCTCCCTCTGAGCAGCTGGTGGTTTTGAACTGCTGGCCTTGTGGCTTGCAGCCCAACTCATAACCCGATCCTGAGGTTGCCGAGGGAGGTGGCGAAAGCATGGGAGGGAGGTGGTGAAGGCATGGGTATGGATGGATGCAGAAGGCATGGGTGCTTGATGGACGTTGGGCTTGGGGAAGGAGTGACCTGGTGAGCTGGGGGTTGGAGCGGGACCCCTGGGGCCACGACCTGAGCGTGTCCTTTCTCTCCCAGAGCCCTTGCCCCAGCTGGTGGTGCAGCCCCGGGCTCCGGAGACCGAGGAGGGGGCGGCCGAACTCCGTCTGCGCTGCGTGGGGTGGAGACCTGGGCATGGGGAGCTGAGCTGGAGCCGTGACGGGCGCCCCCTAGCGGCGACGGACGCAGAGGGCGCGGAGCCGCCCCGGGTCCTCGCGAAGGACGACCAGCTGGTCATCCGGCGCCCGGTGCGCAGCGACCATGCCCGCTACACCTGCCGCGTCCGCAGCCCCTTCGGCCACTCGGAGGCGGCGGCCGATGTCAGCGTCTTCTGTGAGTGGGGGTACCTCTCGGGCTGGGGACGGAGGAACGAAAGGCGCTGGGGGCCTCTGGGCGGGTTCCGGCTAACCCCGACCCCTTCTGCACCCAGACGGCCCGGACCCGCCGACCATCGCGGTTTCCTCGGACCGCGACGCCACCCCCGCCCTCTACGTCACCGCCGGCAGC